GATACAGAAACACCACCCCAATAATGAAAGAATCACCTCTCCAATCCTCTGCTTTGTCTCTCAACAGAAGAAATATGAGGGTTACTTCAGGAAGGACACGGTGACCATCAACACCACTGCCCTCAGAGGCAAATACTGCTTCAGTGCCAGGGCTCTCTACGAAAGCATCAACCTGAAGCACAGCGAATTCTCCCGGCCCGTGTGTGTGCTGTTAAACCACAAAGGTATGGCCCTTCTCAGGAAAGGATGTGGGAGACATCCAGTGGCATGAGGGCAAGGCAAAGATTTCCACTCAAATCAGGTTTTCACCACAAAAAAATAAAAAAAGCTTCCTGTTAAAGGGACTGGTTGGATTCTCTGGTGAGTGGTTCCTGCTTTCTGTAGAAATAGTTTCATTTAAAAAAGCCTGAAATGTTTTCTGAAAACTTTATGTATTGTATATCAGTGTAGAGCCCATAATTCCTATAAAAACACCACTCACAAGAAATTATTTCTGTCTTTTTCAGCGCAGTGGAAGTTGCCACTTCTGGTTGTGACCCTTCTGTTTGTCCTCCCCATCTTTGTGGCTGGTCCCTTCGTCTGCTGCCTGGTGAAACATGAGGCCAAGCAAAGGAAGATGCCTCAGGTTTTGGTATGGCCAAATTCTGAGGTTCCCTCCTGACTCAGAGCCTTTCTGGTTTTCAGAGGGGAACTGGGGAGGAGTGGGGGGTTCTGCCCATCTCAGTTTCACATTTGTAATTCCCATTTTGAAATAACCTTTTTGACATCCAAACTTTTCTTTTGAAAGCATCACAAGCTCACTGTCTCATTCCTTCTCCCTGGCAGGATTTCTCTCAATTTAAAGCTGCTGGACCAACCTTCCACTTGGAGCTCAGTGAAAAAGAATTCTGCAGTGATGATCTGAACTGCTCAGACAAGCCAGTGCCTCAAAGGAGGACAAACAGAGCTTTAGGAGGACACTACCTGTCAAGGATGGCTTCTTTCCCATTATCATCATCATCATCATTGTCAGCATCAGGGTCAGAGGATGAGGAGGAAGAAGACAGCAGCACTTTGATCCCATACCATGCAATGCCTCGGTGTCCAGAGAGACATCTCAGCTCCCAGCCACCCCCAGCAGCTCCGGGGGAAAGCAGCTTGGATTCAGGATCTGGAGGTCTCTCTGTGGCCAGTGGATCTCTGCTTGACCTCAGAGCCCTGGGTTTCACTCTCTTTGCAGAGAGGAAGGGTGAGATGGACACCTCGGGGTCCCAAGCAAACGAGGAGCCCTCCCTTTATCTCTGCTCCTCCTTGGAAAGAATATCCCTCTCTGATGTGAGATTCCCAGGTGCCAGAGAGCAGGGGCAGCAGCATGGAAACAGGGATGAGAGGCTGGGAATGACCTCCCTTCCCCCCCTGCTGGGGGGGATTTGTGCTGAACCCAATGAGCACAGGAAAGCTCCTCATTCTTCCAGAGATCACCAGAAATCCATCCTTGATCTGCAGCTCCAGATGGACTCGAGATGCCAGGCCAGAGAGGATCCCAGCACGCAGCTGCTCATCCCCTTGTGGACACTGCAGGTGGCAGAGGATGAGGGCATTGCAAGTGACTGTGGCAGTGACAGTTTTACAGAAGGGACCCCACCCGAGTCCACAGTGCTGAGTGACGCTTTGGAGACTTCAAACACAGAGGAAAAATGTGATCCAAAGTTGCAATTCTCAGGCTACATGCACTCACATTACTTGGGAAGGATCTAAAGTACCCAGCAGGTCTGGGGAGTGCCTGGGAAATGCTGGAGAGCTCCAGATATCCAAGCAAGGATCCTTGAACAAGGACAAAAACCTGATGTCTGGCGTGTCCAGGCAATGGCTTTAGGGACACAAAAGGTGCATTTTATTGCTAAGTCACCTCTCTACTGGCACTGTCCCTCTGATAAGGTGCTCGGGCTCTGGCACAGCCTGAGCCAGCCAGGGTGAGGGAGGCAGGGAGGTCTGAGAGACCACCCAGCAAACAGACACTGCCTGGGGGTCACCTGAGACTGCAGAACAAGGGAAGTGCTGCATGTGGGCTGTGAAAGAAAAAAGCACAACCCAGCCCCGGGTGGAAGCATCAGCTGGGGCCTGGAAACGCAGTGGTGTGCCTGCATGTGGATTTGGAATGGATTTTGAACTGCTTTGTGTCACCTTTGCCTCCCTGTAAGTCCAGAGCTTGACTGGAAGATCCTTACAGAGATATTCAGCAAGATCTGGTTTTTGTGGGCTGAAAAGTTCTCCACCTCATCCTGCAGAAATCACCTTTGGTGTTCCAACAGAGGGAACCAAAGCCAAAGTGTGCAGCATGTTTGTTTATTTATTTTTTTAATTTTATATTTATTGAAGCTAAAATTCCTCCTGCTGTGCAGAATGTCTGAGAGCAATTATATTTTGATAGAAATCTCCATGTATACATGGTTTTGTTTTCCATAGCCACAAAGGGGGACTGCAGCTCATCCTGATAAAAACCATTACCTTTAAAACAAGACCCCATCCTGGGCTGGAGTGGAATTCTGAGGTCACTCTTGTCACTGAACAAAGAATCACAGAATGGTTTGGTGGGAGGGGATCCTGAAGTTCATCCCACTGCACCCCTGCCATGGCAGGGACACCTCCCACTGTCCCAGGCTGCTCCAAGCCCTGTCCAGCCTGGACTTGGGCACTGCCAGGGATCCAGGGGCAGCTCTGGGCACCCTGTGCCAGGGCCTGCCCACACTTACAGGGAAGAATTTCAGACCAGTATCTAATCTAGATCTCCCCTCTGGCAGTTTACAGCCATCACCTTTGTCCCATCACTTCATGCCCTTGTAAAGGCTTTTTATACTCCAGTATCAAAAGGAGCCTTTGTGTAAAGGACTCACAGGAAAGCAAAGCATGAAAAGAAAGAGGAAAACACTCCCCAGCCATTCTGTGCATTCAGGAAGAGGGCTCAGATGAGGGGATGGTGTTGATGGAGGGTATGAAAGCTGAAATCTTTTGAGAATTGGGGAAAAAAGAAATAAGGGATGATAGGAGGGACTGGGAACTGCTTTGCAGCAAGATGTACTCCTTAAGGCTCTGAATTAAAGTCCAAAGGAAAGATGGGGAAAGGATTCACCAGCTTATTCCTTTTTCCTCTGCAAAGTATCCTCAGGTACATCCTGCATTGTTATCCCTCCAGTTCATTTGGAAAGACATGGATGATCCAAATACAATCACCACCCAATTTCTTGTGCAATCAAGGAAAACCCCCCAGGCTTTGACTTACAGGAAGCTCAGAAGTTGTGTAACCTCCACAAAATTATTTTGACATGTCCCAGCTCTGCAAACAGAGTCTGGGATCAGTTCTTGTCTTGTCCAGGGAACTGAGGGACAGGCTGCAGGCCAGGTGAGCTGCACAGGTGGTGGCAGCATCCAGCTCCTCATTTCCTTTCAGAAGGGTTTGAGAGCTGCTTTCCTCTGCAGAAGGGTCAGTCATGGCCAGAGCACAGTGCTCCCTCTCCCAGAGCAGCTGCTCCGGGTCTTATCACAGCGTCAGGGAATCATTTCCTTAGGAAAACACCTTGGAGATCATCGAGTCCAACTGGGAACCCACCCTGTGCCCAGGTGCCACATCCACACATGGAGGGCTCATGCCCAGCACTCACCAGGTTTGCTGCAGTCCCCACACACTGTGAGGACATCAAAAGTTTGAGAGAGTTTGGAAGACAGAATCCTAATTTTAAACTTGAAAGTCGAGTTTTGGACATCTTCAGGTCCCCAGAGATTCAGAGAGTTGTTTCCTGGGCTATTGGAAAGGTGACACCTTGCTAGAAACAAGAGCAGAGGTAAAGTTTGAAGTTCTGTTCTCAGAACTGAAAGCTCAGGTGCACGCCAAGGTCCCTCAGCTCTGCCCCATCACCCAGCAGGAGCGTGAGGGAAGGGAAAATGGTTGTTCAGGAAACACCCTAACAAACAGTTGTACTTAATTAGACACTGGTGCATAGGTGTGTCTGGTTTAACAAACCTGAGGCCTCTGCCTTTGTCCAGGTGAACTGAGGAAGACCAAGTGCCAGTGATGCACCATGGCAGGGTTGGAAGCACAGAGCCCTTCCACACCCAAGCAGGGCAGGGAACAGAAACAGCATCAGGAACAGGAAATCCACAGATGAGGAGAGAAGCAGAAGGGGTTTGTGAATTCTATCATATGTTTGGCCATAAGGATAAAGCAGTGAAATCAACATTCAGCTTCAGAAGCACACGGGGTTTGTATTTTGAAAAGGTAACAACACCTTAAAAGCTAAACACATTATGTTAAAGGGACTGTATCCCTTTCTTCTTGTCCACACAAACTCCCAGCTCTTATCATGTGGGTTCAGTAACAGAAATTTACACTGTAAACAGCCACAAAAATAAACATTGTAGGTGTACAATAGTCTCTGTGGAGCTGTGGGACAGCAGGTGCTCCTCCTGTGGAAGGGCCACCACTCTTCTACTTTTTGCCCACATCAGCTGAAAAAAACCCAGTGCTCTGGCTGACTTTCACTCTAAGAAAGTATTCAGAAGTATTTTTGAAGGAAGTAGATGCATTGCTTACAGCAGGTATTGAACCAACCAGCTGCATAGCACTAAGTTTTAATGTCTAGAGTTGTAAAAAGCTCAAGTTACCCGACCAGAAAAGCAAACCTCAAACCCCAGGAACCTCAGGGAGGGCTTTCAGGCAGGAAGCTCTCAGCAAAAAGGTATTTGGCTCTTTTTCAGGAGCTGGGGATTTTCTCAGCCTCTGGCTCGTGCACCTTTGTACAGTCAGGTGTGCACTGGAGGGGAGAGCTCCGTTGTCACTCCTCGGTGTCACACATGCGCAGGGCTCCGAGCAGCTGGGAGCTCAGAGCCCAGGGAAGGCAGGACACAGCTCTGCTCTGTTACCGAGCAACAAATCCAACCTGGCCAGAAAGAATTCAGCCAAAAGGTGATTCACCTGCACACAGGAGCAGCCGCCTGCTCTCGCAGCCCAGCCTGCAGAGTCATTCATGAAGGGATTCCTGATCGTCCTGGCTGGAGTTTCAGTGGTTGGTAAGTCCTGAGCTCTGCTCTGCTCTCTTGGTCGTGGGATTCTCTTTGATCCTGGGGTCTGCACTTCACTCCTGTTTCCTGAATTATCACCTAGAGAACGAGCTGTTGTCTGAGTTCTCTTCTGTGTCGATCTCTCCTCATAGTAACTCCCATGTGTGGCTGGTATGCTCGAGAGATTAGTAAGGGAGAGAGAAAAATTCCTTCACTTCAAAGAGTTTGTCACTGTGCTATGACCCAAATCCTACAAGAGTGAAGGATATTCACTGGTATCAGGGGGCTTTGGATCAGTCTCCTTGTGTCTTAAGCCAAGGCACAAATGAATACAAGAACAGTCCTGATTTTAAAGGAGGCACACATAATGTAATCTTAAAATGAGGGAGTCATCGTAGAGTGCTTGGGTTGGAAGAGACTTAAAACTCATCTCATCTCACCCCTGCCATGGCAGGGACACCTCCCACTGTCCCAGGCTGCTCCAAGCCCTGTCCAGCCTGGCCTTGGGCACTGCCAGAGATCCAGGGGCAGCCCCAGCTGCTCTGGGCACCTGTGCCAGGGCTGTCCACCCTCCCAGGGAACAGTTTCTCCCTGATATCTAATGTAGATCTACCCTCTAAAAGCCATTTAATCCTACTCCAGATGTGACAAGCTCACTGTTGAGTGAATGAAGGATAAACCTGCTCTTTCCAGACAGCAGCTTTTCATCATTCAGCTGTATCATTCACCTGCTCCTGTCTGGGATCTCTCCCTGTGAAACTCCTCAGCCCAAGGGACCGTCACACTGTGAAATATCCTGGTTTTCCCCTGCCCACACTTGACTGTGCTTGTGTTATGCTGCTTTGCATGACAGTGTTCTAGCAGGGATAAATTCGGGAAGACAGAGATTTCCTACTCCTGATAAGATCGGGGTATTTGTGACTCAGTTTTCAGGGCGCTCAGATAGGAAATCCCACTCCTTCATACCCACACCGCTGCCTCCTGCTGAGCCTGGGATGAGCAGAGCTGCAGATGAAGTCAGGACAAAATCTGGAGTAGCCAGCAGCCCATTTCTGCACCACTTCCCTGCCCAAATGCCACACACAGGACTGAGATGGGATCTGTGCCCTTCTGCCTAACCCTCCTCCATCCAACCAGCAGTTTGAGCTGCTCACACTCAGTTCTGGTTCAGGGGGGAAAGTTTGGAGCGAGGATCTGGGTGGGATTTAATCTCTGTTCGATGTGATCTTGTCCAAGTCAGCCCCATCCCAGTGCTCAGTCTGCCCATCTGTGCTATTTTCATTTGCTCACCCCACTTTTTCACCAGGGGTCGCATTGTTCACTGCAAGCTGAAGCCCTCACATGCCCCAGGTGTTTATCAGTGCCACAAACCAAGAGCTGAATAATGTATAAATGATTTATCTTTGAGGGTCTGCCTAGAATCTGAATTCAGAATTTATAAATACTGAAGTTAGAAACTCTTATGGATCAGCCTTGAGAAAATTTAGCACTATGTTTTCTCGTGACAAGAGAGACACAAAATCCTCAAGGACTTTACTGCAGCACCTCGGAGCCAGTTTGCTGCAGGAGGGCCACGGGGGAGTCCTGCTGTGCAGGGACATGTTTGCAGGGACAGGTGACATTGCTGACCCCCAAGGAAGAGCAGCAGGGCTCGGGAAGCAGGGAGCTGGCTGAGCTGTTTGCTGTCACCCGGCACACCCAGGCCAGAGTCCAGACACCCAGTGTCACTCTGTACAGGCACTTTCCATCCAGTAAAACATGGAGCACGAGAGGAAAACAGGGCCACATCTTCAGGAGGTGATACTGAGCTCTGCAGGTCACTTCCTCAAGCAGAGGCAGAAAACAGAGACATTCACAGACCTGATTCTGGGCTTGAAAACAGATTATTTGCCTTATTTCATCACCCATTTAACAGCACTTAAAGAAACCCAACTAGAAAATCAAGGATTCTCTTTCTGACTTGAGTTTTTGAGGCTTTTCTGTATAAACTCCTGACTTACATTTCTTTGGGATGAGTCAGTTGTCTGCAAGAATGTGATGTGAACACAGCTTGAAGCCTTGTTCTGCTCAAGCTCCTTCTTTTCAGTCCAGGTTTAGCAAAATACCACAGGATCCATTTTCATCTGAGGGCTGAGATGTCAGAAAATGCTTTTCAATACCCATTTTTCTGCTCCTTCAGGCATCGTGGCTACAGAGAGATCATCATGTCTGAAACGTGCAGCATTTTCTTCCACAAACTTTGAGAACATCCTGACGTGGGAAACAGAGGCAGATATTCCCCCTGACACTGTGTTTGATGTCCAGTACAAACAGTATGTGAAGTTTGCTACTTTGGGCTGTTCTTAGGGGTCTCAGAAAGAGAAGGGCCAAGAGAGAAAAGTTGATTTTGCTGTTTCTCCTGCCTGTATTATGGTTCTGCTCAGAGGAGAACCTAGTGAGGGACAGGATTACTCAAAGTGGGAGATGAGGCTCATTTAAGCAAATATTTTACATCTCGGGTTGCTTTGCTCCATTACTGAGCTACTCTTGCCTTCAGCAATTTCCTTCTCTCTACTCCGTTTTCCTCCAGTCCTATTCAACCAAACCACCCCAAACCCTTGTTTTGTCCTCAGGTACGGAGAGAAATCCTGGCTCACCAAGCATGAGTGCCAGAGCATCACGCAGCTCTTCTGCAACCTCAGCAGGGAGACAGAGAACTTCACGGAGCATTTCTACGGGCGGGTGAGGGCACGGGGCTGCTCCTCCAGCTGGCTGCGCTCCGAGCGCTTCGAGCCCCGCAAGGAGAGTAGGTGCCACCAAACAACCCTGCCTCCTGCCACCTGCAGGGCAGCATTTCCTCACTTGTCAGCCTTGCAAGGCTGTGCTGGGTGATGGGGAGTGAAGGTATTTTGGGCAGGGAGGTGAATGAGAAAAGGGCAGGGCCTAATGTGTCACTCTTCCAGCCAGGTCTTCTGAGCGCTCAGAGAACCTATCACAGCCGAGATAGCTCTGCTGCCCCAAATGGCATCAAATTAGCAGGATGGCTTCTGAGGTAGTGTTGGAAACAGAAAAGGGTTTAATAAAAGGCAAAATAACAAAGCTCTTACAGAGGAAAACCAAGCCAGGGGCAAGAGGTTCTTGCTCTTGCTAAACACTCCACAAAAGTGATTATTTCCTTTGATCTCTTCTCTGTCTAGTGAATTAGCTAGGATGGACTTCTTGGCCTTTGTCCACTTGGCAGCCCCAGGTCTGAGGTGAAGTCCCAAAGGTCCTATGACGTGTCTTTGTGCTTAATCTGGGAGAGAAACTTCTGGGCTTTTTGCCTCTTTAAGCAGACAAAGAATAATTTGGTCACTCAGTCAACAGTGGGGTCAGAGGAGAAAGGCAAAGCCAGGTGTGATGGAAGGGAGAGCTGCTGGTGAGAGGAATAGAGAAATGAGTAAGGGACAAGATGGGCAACCTGAGGACAGCAAGTCCCAGGAGCTGTGAAATGGGAACACTGGGATAAGCATCCATTCCAGTGGATACTTGGTGTCCCAGCCCCAAAGCGAGCCCCACTGCAGATTCAACGCAGCCTTTGGGGACCTCACTGGCTCTGTGGATAAAATTTCCCACTGAAAAGTCACCAAGAATAATTCAAGGTGGCATCAGCAGCCAATGGTTGTGAAGAGCCTTCAGACCTCGGCACCAAAAACCTGTGAAAACTTGGATTTAAAGCCCTTTTCAGTGCTGGGTGTAGCGTGTGCCTGTCACCAGAGGTAAGTGCAGGCACAAAAGCCCTGTAAATCTGGTGTAGGATGGGACTGGGATTTGGGCAGCTGTTACCTGAGTACCTGCGGTGGGATTTCACCCCTCACACACACTGAAGGAGGATATCAAGGGAAAATGGAGCTGGAAAAGCCTGGGATGAGAATTCCTGGGGACAAACACTGTGAAGGTACAGAACCCCAAACCACCTCTGTCTGCAGTGGCCTGACTCCTGCCATGCAGGACAGCTCAGACACCTTTTTGTAGAACCAGAAACAACCATTTCAGCGGGTCTGGGGTGTGGTTAACACAGCTGACACTGCCTGTTGTGCCTCTCCCAGCCGTTGTAGGGGCCCCACAAGTGGAATACATTCCCTACGTCCGCTCCATCAAGTTCCTGATCCGGCCTCCCCTGACCCCGCTGCGGGGGGAGGACGAGCAGCAGCTCACCGTGGAGGACATTTACAGCAAATTCGGGGCTGTGGATTATCACCTGACAATATTCAACCAGAGGACACACCAGCAGGTAAAGCACAACCTCGGGCACTGGGTGCTGCTGTAAATCCCATTTCAGATGAGCTGGAGAAGGATCTCAGTTTACACAGGATGGGGGAGATTTCTGATGTAAAAGGGAAAGTCTTGGAGTCTTTGATTCTCAGGACAACAGGAATTTGAAGCTTTCTTAAATTCTGGAGAAAAAAGGACTTTCCAAGAGTGCTGTATAACTAGCCAAAAGTAAAACCATTGGTGACTAAAAATTACTTAAGTAGTTCAAGTCTTAAGAAACTGAAATGCAGAATTCAATACAGAAATAATGGAAAACAAAAGACTATAAATATGATTCAGAAAAAAATCAGAGTTCCATACATACAGAATAAGTCCAGCCCTGTAAGACCTCATTAGTAAATAATATTTTATGCTGAATTTTGCAATCTGAATTGAAGAAAATTTCATCTTGCCCAAATACAGATTTTACCTTTCTTTTCAACAGTGGACAAAGATTGAGCACAACAAAGAATTTGAAGTTTCCAACTTGGACCCAGACACTGAATACAACGGGACAGTTTATATCTGTCTGCTCCAGAGAAGGAGCAAACCTCAGGTGTTTTGGGTCAAAACACTGGCAGGTGAGGCTCCTAACTCTGCTGAAAGTTGAAAAGTCCAGCTGAGATATTGGATACACAAAATGCATTGATTTTCAGCATGGGACATTTTAATAATTTAAAAATTAATTTCTGTGAGACTAAACCTGTGACATCGCCTAGCTAATTGTGACATTTTTCTAATCCAGCTCTTTTTCCACTTGTTCTTTCCCAGACAAGACATGGGTTCTCTACTGTCTGGTGGCCCTGGCGTTCTGTGCCGGGCTGGTTTTTGCTGCCACTGCTTATGTGATCTACAAATACATCAAACAGCGCAGTGCCCAGCCCAGGGCCTTGGTGAGTATCCTCAGCCACTGCAGCTCAGCTTGGAAATCACAGAATCCCCCCTGCCTGGGGCTGGAAGGGACCTGAAAGGTCATTTAGTCCATGCCCTGTATGGGGCCCACACCTCCCACTGCCCCAGGCTGCTCCAAGCCCGGCCAACCCCGCCCTGGGCAACGCCAAGGAACAAGGGCAACCAAAACCGCCCCGGGCCCGGGCCCCAACAACCCCCGAAGAAAACATTTCCCCCCAAAGCCCAAACCAAACCCAACCCCCCTCAATTAAAGGGGTAAAGAACCCCGGCCAAGCAAACAACGCAAAATAACGAAAACTGAAGAAGCCCAGAAACCGCCCCAAGCTCGGGTTAGACAGCTGAACCTGAGGCATCCTAAATCCCCAGTTCCCTTGAAACCCTGGGATTCTCACCTATCCCTCATCTCCCACAGCAAGAACTGGGTTTTCATGCTAATGAGCTCAAGGATTTTCATGCTATTTCCATGCTGCAGGGCTTAGGCCAAATCTTGGAAAGTGAAAGCAGGAGATTTTCTTCCTCATATTTCAAGAGTGCTCAGTTGATACACACTGAGAAATGTCTGTATTCCTGTGAATGGTCATTCTCCAGGAGAAAAAAAAAAAAAGCAGAGTTCTTTTGTCAGCAGAGCAGATCCCTGGTGGTTGTTACTGCCTTTCACTGACACTTCTCCAAAGAAAATGTTAGAGTAACTATAGCAAACCTTCAAGGTCAAAAGCTAACTCGTGCTTTTTTATCTACTCCACCAGGACTTCAGAGGGATTCCATCATTCCAGCCTCTCACACTGACAGTGGAGCACATCATAAAGCCCCTCAGCTTCTCCAAACCTTCCCCTTTCATCCCTGAAGTGCAGCTGGCCCAGATGAGCCAACATTTGGACTGGGCCCTGCAGCCACCACGGCCTTCGTGTCCCTACCAGCAGCAGGTGGACGTTGCAGCACTGCAGCTGCCCCCTCAGCCCTGCCAGGTGGAAATCCCAGCTCCCATCACAGCTTACACTCCTCAGGGAGCTGAGCAGAGCACTGCTGCTGCCACAGGCAGCTCCAGCCTGGCCCTGACCTACGGGCTGTGCGTGGAGGGCACGGACGGGAGCTCACAGCCCAAACAAAGGCTGAAGGAAACTTCTCCAGATCCTTCTGAGGATCCAGAGCTGCCAACCCATGGGCTGGGGAGGAGCTGCAGCTGGGATTACAAAGAGCAGCAGCCAAAGGTGGATCTGTGGAAGAGCAGAGACAGACTGGAGTCGGTTGTGATCCAGGGGAGCCCCGGGCAGACGCAGCTGCTGCTACAGGGTGAGGGGCTGGAAGATCCAGAGCGTGTGTCCCCGCTGTCCCTGTCCTTGCTGGAACAGGGAGGAGGATGCTACAGACAACAGGCAGAGCTGCCCCTGCTGCTGCCTGCAGGGCGAGCTGCCCCAGCCTCTGCTGCAGAGCAGGAGCTGCTGGCACCTCTGTCAGCAGCGCTGCTGCTCTCAGTCCGGACTGGGAACGACTTCCCCAGGGAGAAGCACGGGGAGCAGTGGGTGCTGCCAGCGCCATTCCCACATCCTGCAGCCAGAGTGCAGCTCCCAGAGACTGCAGCCATGGAAATGTTCCCCGCAGCAAAGGAGCTGGGCTGCACCGAGCTGAGCGTGTCCCCAGGCAGCAGCCCAGGCCGCGACAGGGGCACTCCTCTCGCCATGCTCTTCAAAGATTTGGACTTGAAAGTGCAGTGGGATGAGGAGGAAAGCACAGAATTTTATTAGGATGACTTAATGGTATTTAAATCCAGGTGTTTTCTTGCATGAAACAGAAGCAATGCAAAACCACAGCTGATTCTGGCTGTATTAACACAGCTCAGGGCTGTCAGACTGCTCCATCGTGGAGTTTGGTGCCTTTACTGATAGAATTGCTCCTTGTTACACTGCCATACTGTACCTTCACACTTAAACAGCAGGTCTTTATTTCTTGCATATTCTCAAATTTATTATGAATTGGATTACTTTAAAAGATCAGTGAAGATTCAGTTTCCAATCCCAGATTCAGTTTACTGAAAATTTAGCAAAATTCACAACAGAAACTGTATTTGCTTTTTACCAATGCCAAAGATAGAGGGCTAAGGTGTAACTCCCTTTGAAGAAATTCAGGTATGCAAACCTAGAAGTATTTAACGTACCACAGCACAGTAAAAGATGTAAATAGTTATTGATGTTCTACCCTTGGATAAATGGCATGGAAAAGAGTATTCCAGTTCCCTGGAATGGACTTTGCCTTTAAAGGAGTCCTTGAAACTGGATAACAGCTCCTGATGCAGCAGTTCTGTGAAATGTGTCCCTGTCCCCTGTGGTTTTTAATACTTGTACAAAGATAAAGCCTTTTTTAATACCTGTCAAAAGATAAAGCTTCTTTTCATCTCAGCAACAGATTCATGCAGCCTTGGCCCAGTTCTGAGCTTTTCCAGCTACTGCTCCTTTCTTTCTCTGCAGTAGTCACCCATTCTCTTCCTCCCCTGAGATCCCCAGGGATGAAGCACAAGGGATCACATCCCAGGCAGGCAGGGATGTGAGGATTTGCAGCACTCCCAGTTCAACCCTCAATCTCAGTTTATTCCATGCCCTCAGTAATGCACAAAGGAGTCCAGGGAGGTCTGGAGCTCTCCCTCCCACCCCTCCCTGCCCATGAGGAACCTGCTCCATGTTCCTGGCACATCCTCCAGAGCTGCCATGACCATTTTTTGGGAGTCAAAATCCTTGGAGCACTTGGATCTCTACCAAAAGGAAGCTAAATTCTAATTCAGGGGCCAGATGAAGTAATTATTTTTCTTCCAGAGGAAAGCACTGTTCAGGCTGTTCATTTTCACTACTGTGGTGAAAAAAATTGTGTTTGAGGACATTGGTTTTAGAGAAGTGAAAGCATTTACAGGAATAAGCAAGGTTTGACTGGCATGGGGAAGTATTTACTCAAAGAGACCTGAGATAAATTCAGTTGTTGCCACTCCAAGTGCACTTGGGGCTTTTCTCAGCCCAGGAAACCTGAAGCTAAAGGTTAAATTCCACTTGCTTTGGGGTGATTTTGCAAATAAGCCATAGGCTCATGAAGTGAAGATTTTTGATGATTCAACCCAGGATTAAAGGAACAGTCTTAGAAACTTTACAGGCAAAGGTTCAGCTCTGAGCTCCAGCACCAGCAACTGCTGAAGGACCACAGCCCTGTGAGGCCAAAAGGTGAAAATTCCAAATGTGCTGAAGAAGTGTGAGGGTACCAAAGATTGAAACACGTGCATGGCTTGGGCAGTGACCAGCAGGACATTCCCAGGAAGCTCCCTCCATACCATTCACTACCAGAGGGTTTGTGGAATGTCCTTTCATCTGTGCCCCAAAAAACAACACCCAGAGAAATGCTGCAGCTCCTGGAGTTGTTCCCAAGGACTGGGAGACCCCAGGGGTAACAATTTTTTTTCCACTAAACGCCCCCTGGAGAGGCATTTCAAGCCAGTGATGCCAATTACCTTATTCAGAGTTCCATCATTCCCAGTGATGCTAGCCAGGGAATAATCAACATTTTAGGCTGCATTGTGAAACACAACCCCAGCACAGGACGAGTATGGGCAGAGTTGTGTGGAAGGGATGAGGACCTTGGGCGAGCATTTAAATCTGATGCTAAAATTATGTTATTTTCTATTTTAAAAGCCTTTCCAAATCCCTCTGCAGACCCCCTGCCACGGGGTCTGATCATGCCCAGACTGTAATAAATGTGTCATCCTGCTGCAGGACAGCTGGGAACTGAGGAGAGGCTGGGAATGGATTTTTAGAATGCACACAGGTGCCTAAAGATGTAAAATGTCCCCGAGCTGGGATATCCACCTCTCCTTCAGGCCCTTAAATACCTTCAGGGCTGCATTACCCCTGCCTGAACAAAAGGCAGGAATGATTCCAGCCCATCCTCTCTGTTCCACCCTCCCAGCAGCTGCCATACCCAGGGATCACAGGCAGGAGAGTCCTGTCCTACTGCAATAGCCTCAACTTCCTGCTTTCGTCATGGCTTAGTCAATATTGATTTTTGAGGCCTGAATTTTCTCAACAGAGGGAAATGAATTCTTGTCTCATGAGTCACCTCCTAAATTTAACACACTGACCATCCCTTCTCAAGTTATTTCTCTTGTGAAAAGCCTGGAAAGACATGCTGACGCTGTTGAATTTTATTGGAGCAAGGAATACATCAGCCCTGCTGACCTCACTGCCTTCCTCTGCTCAGAACCAAAGAGATCCACTTGTGTCAAAGAGCTGCTCCAGGACCTCCTTATCTCCATCTCCTTGTGCGTAGGAACATTTCCAGATAAACAGCAGGATTTCAACACTGCTCCAAAGGTCTCCCCATGCAATCCATCCGTGCCCAACAACGCCGCGCGGCTGAGAGCAGCTCTGATGGCTCGGGGGTGCCTTGCCGTGTGTCCCCAGCAGATGTCCCAGCGGTGACAGGTAGCGCCGCAGCCTGTGACAAGGACAGCAGAGGAGCAGGTGGCAGCTGTAACCCTAGAGCAAAGCGCTGCTCTTTGTCTTCTCAGCTAAATCTGGGAGCTGGCACTCGCTCACTCCCCGAGCAGCCCCGCTGGAAGCTCAGCAGGGATCCCTGCCCAAGCCAAGGATCCCGTTCCCCTCCCTGTTTGTTCCTTTCTTTTGGCACTGGAGGGTGTTTGAACACCGTGAAAAATCACTGGAGAGTTTTTAACAAGTTCTGGGAGGAAGATCTCACACGAGGGACAAAAGGAAAGCTCCAGATTCTGGAGACAGGATGAAGGAGAGCTCACAGAATCTCAGAATATCCTGAGCTGGAAGGGATAACATGGATCATCAAGTTGAACCCCTGGCCCTGCAGACACCCCAACAATCCCACCTTGTGCTTGAGAGCATTGTCCAAGCACTCCTGGAGCTCTGGCAGCAGGCTGTGCCCATTCCCTGGGGAGCCTGGGCAGCGCCAGCACCCTCTGAGGGAAGAACCTTTCCCTAAATCCAGCCCAAATCACCCTGAACCAGCTCCAGGCATTCCCTAAGTTCTGTCCCTGAGATCAGTGCCTGCCCATCTAAATTAATCAGTTTTATAACAGAGGGTTGATGTGACAAAATGAATGAAATTATTAATTTTAAGCAGAATAGATGATAATTACACATTATTTCTCATAATACAAAGTTCAGGGAAGCACTCAAATGACCATGGATTCAAAACCAATGAAAGGGAAGTGCTCCTTCCCTTTGTCAGCTCAGCTCACCCCAAAGTGCTTCAGACATGCCAGCCCAGTCCTTCCTGTTTATTGCTCTCCTAGGAATGTCACAGACACAGCCACCAAATGAACTTCACACCTGAGCTCCTGGGACTTCTGGTGCTGACCCTGCTCGGTTTCTTCTTTGTTTGGATGGTGAAGCAAGTAAGGGTCCTAGAAATGGCTCCTGCTGGTACTGTGCCAGATTTGATGGTGGAATTCATTCTCACAGGGCACCACAAGAAACATCACCTGCTCCTCACATTGCTGGGAAGGGTTTTCCCTGCATGCTGGCACTGCAGGAGCACCTCACATAAATGGAAAATCTGTTCTTTGCCCCTGCCCTAAACTCTCAGACACCACCATGGGCTGCTGGATACACAAAGCTCCCCTGCTCTGAGGCACCAAGCCTTTGTTTGCTGCAAAAAGGAACTAAAACAGTCACACCCCACCAAAACCTGAGAGCTGCTGGGGCTCCTGCTGTAATCAGACACTGCCAAGATTTGCCTGGGGTTGGCATTCACTAAAGAGGTGTCAAAGCAAATGACATCACTCTGTTAGGCAGCAATGGCAAAGTTACCCCCAGGGCCATTCCTGGGCAGTGTTAAAATCTTCATAATTCAGTTTAGATGCTTTGTGAGCTTCTATCCTTAAAGAGCAGAGCATACTCCAGTGCTGTGGAGTTTGGAGGCGCATGTCCCCCCTCAGCTCGTGATTTGGCAGAGCTGGGTGGGCACTGCAGTGAGCAGTGAGTGTCCCAGCTGGGCCATCCCCATTGTCCGGGGAGGGCCTGGCAGGGCTATATTTGACTGCAGGATGGGCACTCCAACATGGGGAACATTCTTTTGGGGAGAGTCATCCTCGTGTCATCACCAGGGAGAAGGAAACCTCCTTTGTCCCTTGCCTTGCCTGGGGACAGGGGCTCTCCCTGCAGCCTTCACGGGTGAGTTTGGTTTATCTGCAAATAAACTGCTGTTTATTCTGGATTTTGTAGGATCTTCAGAGCAGCATCAGTTGTTTTGTGTGACAGCTTTGTTTGACTTGCGCTGCAGAAGTAGATTTTGCTTTGTGATTGTATCTGTTTTAACGATTGTTTTTCCAGTGTTGTTATGATGAAAATCCTGGTTTGCTTCATGGTTTTCTCACCAGAATCTGCTCTGTTTTGTTGGCATGTTTAGAAAATAATTTGCATTTGAATTGAAAAGTGTAGGTTTTAACAGTGAGTATAAAAAAATGAAATTTGTTCAGGGAAAAATAAAACCCATTATTTAGTAAAAATGAGTCTGTATCAGTAATTATTCATGAGCACGGAAACAAGGCTCTGATGCCCAGGATCACACGACTCATTCTGCAGCTGAACCACTTCTGAAGACACCAGGAGCTATGAAATTACAATGATTTTTTTTTCTCATAAAAGTCTGCTTTTTTGTCTTCTTCTTTTACTTGTCAGCATTTGTTGTTTCTACCAAATTTAATGCCCACAAAGGAAACATTATCAAGATAATTCTG